ACGTAGATGTAACATGTTTTACATAGGGTACACGTGTACCTTTCCCCCCTCACCCCCACCACTTCCTTGTCTCTAGACTAATTAATTTATTGAAATTAATTAATTAAACAAACATTAAAGTTTACACATTAGTGTCTTAGTGAATCAACGGCAGGCTGCCCCCAAAACCATCCCAATAGTGCACTGTGCACTAAAAAAGTAGGTAGAAAAGAAAAAGTTCCTGCATCACTAGGTCTTGAACTCACAGCCTCCCACTCATAAGGCAGTTAATTTCTCCACTGCGTCACACTGACAATTATTCCTGACGTGAAGAAAATACTGATTATATTGGTTTGTAGGAAAGTATTGGGTAGTTAAAACAGCAGGCTCAAGTACGTTCCTAGCATGAGCCGAAAAGTTATGCGAAAGTTCTACCAAACTCATCTATTATTGTACCTTTATCTTTCTAGCAGTTGCCTACTCGTAAGACTAGAACATGTCAACCCAACGGAATGACACTAGCCATAAGCCCACAATTACACATTACAGACCCCTTTTTAGCCATTGGTCTTTTTCTTTTCTTGTTTAACCCTTCTTTACTGAAATACATGTACTTATTTCAGGTTTGGAAACGATAAAAATAGGGGTTTTGATGTTTCGCGATCTTGCTGTTTCACATTAATTATCAACCTCAAATTGCATCTGATGGCTTAATTCATAAAAAAATCCTGGAATTTTCCGAAGATCTTTTACAGCTACCCTGTGAGCAGAGTCGCTTTCATCTTATAATTTCACCTCCTATTGTGATTTGTCGTCCAAACACCCAAGCAGGGCTGCGACAACTCAGCTGTGTAGTTAAATTTGTAATTTGAATAAGCTGTTTTGTTAAGCCCTAGCGTGTAACAGCATCACTCTCAATCTTGTTTCCAGAGGCTATGATCCTTTTTGATTAGAACCAAAAAATTGAGAACCCTGGGTTAATTACAGTGGTTACTCTTTTTGAAGCATGTTCAGCAGGAACCGTTATCAAACATAAACTCATGCACACAATAAACAGGAACCAGAATTGTGTG